CAGGTTCTAATTATGTGCTAATAGTCGCTGAGGAGGTCATTTGGAGCCATTAGCCAGCGCCTGTAGGTAGTTAACGGCCCACAGCATAACCCGGCCTCCTTAATGTTCCCTGCGAGGCCGTTAGCGCTCTGTCACCAGCCAGCTAGCTGCCTCGTTACTGCTATTAGAAACCAATTGATAAGTAATAGTAAAATATGATAGCACACTATCTAGGAACTATAAACTCTGATGGAAAGGTGAGAGGACAGGAGACAGCAAGTGGTAGTGCATGAGAGCACCTACCCATTCCAGAGGGGGAAAGCAAATGTGGCTGTGAAGCTAAGGGCAGCAACTAACTGACAAACTGATCAGAACGAGGAGTCAGATGTTGAACTGCATTTAACCGGCTCCAAAGGATGAGATTATTTGCACACTGTCACTGTGGGTAAGTTGAATGCATGGTTGGGGGAGTCCTTGTGAAAATAAAGTATGACATTTTACTGTATCATTAGGGCTTTGAGTGCTGTTGTAATTGTCAAATCATGCCGTTAACTAAAGAGACAGTTCATCATCACTGAGGTTCTCATCTGGTATTATGCACTTTTGACACAGATTTTTCAGGGATGAAAGGAAACAATACACATTCCCACATAGGTTTGTGCAGTAGGTAACAGGTAACCCCAGTTTGTAACTCCTGATGTGTTACTATATCATTTGTGTTGTGGTGTTACTGTATACATCCAATTTCTCCCCTCACAAAAAAAAAACAACACATAAAAACATAGTCTCTGAAGAAACCCATAGGGTAGCTGCTTTTTGTATTTTCTAGAAACGTCAAAGATTTGTCTTAACATTTGGACTGAAAATAAAGGCAAAATATTTTGTCAGTTTAAAGTTTTTAACCCACATATTATTGTAAAACACATGTAAAAGATTTACTGTGTTCTTTTGGTTGAAAATATAAAATATGAATATTAAATTATATATTAACAAAATATTTCATTTTGATTCTTAGAAACTGAGCAAGAAAATATACCATTTCACATGAATATCTTTGGATATGGAATATATACATAGAGCTGTAAGGTGAGATGCAGGATGAAAGTCATTATTATTGTGCAACAGAGAGAATAGTTTTCATCTGAATGGCTGTGAAAGTCTCAGAAGATTCTGGATACCTTCAGAATGGCACTAAGTCTTCAGGATTTTTCAGAGAGCACAGGTACTTATGTTTTGGAAAACTGGAAGCTTTATCATTATACTGTATAATGCACAAGAAGCACAATCTGCAGATAAGTAAAGATAAAGTGTATGAACACAGCACTTCTTTTCCCTTAGTCATGGATGAAAAAAGAAATCAAATCAGTATCAACACAAAGATATCCTAGACCTACAATGCAGAACACAGTTCTAACCAATTAGAGTCAGATGTTTTCATTTAGCTATATTTTATTTCTGCTCTGGGCAGACGTGGATTCATATGATTTAAATTAAAATCACACTGGTTATCAGTCAAAGGCAGTAAACCTCCTGCCGCTCCACATTCATCAAGCCTAGACAAGTTTGATCTTGAGTATATGCTCTGCCCTGACAAAAAAGAAATACAGCTCTCCCTAAAGAACCACAGATTTGTCCATGATGAAATCTCCTGACTGGGGTCTAAATATTTGCCTGTGCTGTATTTGTGTGAGCGTTTCATTAACGATCAGAGCTGACAAACATACACACTCACTGACCCCAGTCATCAGGGGAGAGCCTCTGACAGTAGTGTGTGTTTTGTGTGTGTTTGGTGAAAACATAAATGCTTCACATGAGGGATCGAGGAGACAATTGCAGTGGAAATGAATCTGGTGTGGTGAACATTTCCACTGCCAGTGCCCCGTCTCTTATTTAAGGCCCTGTCAGAAGTTGAAAGTATAATTGATACAAATTCTAAAGTTTAATTTTTAAAGTTTACAGTCACAGAGGGTTCAGCGTTTCAGATTGTTTAAAATTGCTCTCACTCCCTTTTCATTAAAGCAAGATATTCTGAAAATGTTTGTTCATCAAAGGGTTGCTACAAATTAGACTTTGAAGAACTCAATTTGAAGTAAAGAAAAGCATTTCTTTTCCTCTGGGGAAGCCAAAAGCTCAGCTGTGTTTGCAATTCAATGTAAACTGGGCACAATATCTGATTTTAAAGATGCGTGCAGTCATTATACAGACACGAACATAATGACACACACTAAACTTGCCATGTGCACACACAGTACTCACCCTCAACTACATATTTTGTTAGTCCCCTTGTGTTATGTTGCACCCATTCTCTTAGATGGCAGTGTCTATTTGTTAATAGTTGAAATTAGCAGTGAGGCCTCTGGAGGAGCAGGTGGGCATGCTGTAACCCTAAGTCTAGAGAGAGGGGAAGAGAGACAGGGAGTCAGATAGAGATGGCCAGAGCAGTGGAATAACATCTTAATCTATCTGAGAAGTGAACAGTGGCTGGTCTGTTTTTGGAGCACGCTGTCTTGGATGACTCCCAAGTAGAGGGGCAGGGAGCAGAGTCATCTTCAGCTGCTAGTCACTAACATGGCAGTAATAAGGCAGTGATGACCCTCCCAGGACTGCTGGCCAACACTCCTTCTGCCTCCTTTCCTTTCAGCACAAACACACACACAAACTCAGGCCGTGCACTTAAGCAGGAAGTCAGTACAGCACCAAATTTCTCTCTCTGTGATATATTGACTTCCCTGTTTGCTTACCAATTTCTCTTCATTTTAAATGAATCTTAAAAGTTCCCAGAAAAACAAACATGGGCCACTCCTACTGTGTTTTTGCACAACACTGTCCATCGGTCCATCTATCTAGAGGGTCATGGGGTGTACAGATCCAAATCTGAAAAACATTCCATGAAATTATTCATAGAAGTACAATCAGTGAGGGAAACACAAAACAAAGCTACTGTATGGGACTAACTGATAAATCCTTAATGCAAATAGAGAAGTAAAACAGTACTCAGGGCTAGAAGAAATGAATGTAATGCGATGCTGCTACACCTGTTGCTGATGCAAATTAAATCACTATCAGAGACTTTCCTGTCTGCCTTTACATAGGTTTGATTTATCAGCCTTAAAGGATTTAGACTAGATTCATTTTCTTAACATGGCAGAAAAAGCTGCACACATCACAGCAAAGACAAATAAATATCATTAATTGCCAAAAAAAAGATGCTGAAAAGAATATAAAGGTGGGTTCAGTCCACTGTTAGTGATCACCATGAATATCATAAAAATGAATCTATTACATTTTCATAAAATACATTTACATTTGGCTTTTATCACCTTAAAAGCCACTGCCCTCGTGTTTCTGAAATTAGTTTCATACTACTTACTCTGCATACAATTAATTTAAGCCATTGTGATCTGTGTCAGCTTGTACGATATGGCTGGCAAACTCTTTTGCATGGCTACTTGCACATATATGGTGCTGCGTCTGTGAGAGTATAGCCCTCAGTGCTTTGTATTGTTAGAAATTTGCATGCTTAAGTCCATATGGTAACTTCCTTTTGACCTGCTTTCCCATCCCCAATGCATTGTCAGGGCTGTCAGCCGATAAAGAATCACTTGACTTGCTATAACAAGTTCAAAAGGAGCTGATGACGCGCTGTTGATCCATGGAGAATCGGCCAAAGGAACACCCCTACTGCTTGCTGCTATCACTCCCATAGAGATAGCCATATTATTGATGGGGAATGGTTATGCAAATTTCTTCAGGAGAGGAAAACTTTTTTTTTTTAATTTTGGAAAATGCTCACAAAACAGAAAGAAAGAAAGAATAAAGCAAATTTTGTATGCATCAAACTGAATTCCATATAACCATTTAAAGGAGCAGCATAAGAATCAGATTTTCATAGTGCATAATGAATATGGAATATCTTTTACAGAGGAAGATATGTTTTGTCTGAGAAGGGGAGAAAAGCAGATTTAATGTCTCACAGAACACATGCACACAGAGACTGACTGAAAATGTCTTTTAAAAAGAATAAATATTTGAGTAAAAAATGTGACATATATCTTAATATGCCTAATAATAAATGTCTTCATACATGAAAGACTGGTAAAAACGAGGCAGTGAATAGACTCTTTGGATGGAAAAAGTTTTAAAGACATTGCATTACATTCCTAAATGTGATCAAAGTTGTAATAATTCTAATGTGCTTTAAGGTGTGGATTGGTTCACGTGCTTTTTGTCGGAGTGACCATTCACATGTGTGCATGTGCCTCTCTGTCATATACAGCATGGCACAGGCGTCGTGGAGGAGGGAGGGGGAGAGAGGGGCGGTCGGGGGTCTGTTAGGAATATGACCCCGAGATATTCCACTGTGGGTCCATGTCCGGTTCGGAGGACATTTGATCGCATCTCAGTCAGTGGTAATGTGTCACTCGGTTCGACATTTTGAATAATCGGGGCTGTCTGCCGTCATCCTGCCACTAGCTGACAGCAGCCCCGTCTGTCTGTCTGTCTGTCTTATAACTCTTCTCTACTCGTGCACTTACATGATAGAAAACAAGCTGTCCCTGCCAGAGAGCACTTGATACTGTTTTATTATTACCAAACCGTTCCCATAATTATCCCATAATCATTATATAATCCTATAACAAAGCCTCTATTGAAGCCCTGTCTTTTGTCAACGCTGGGACACTGAATCTATAATAGCATTATTCAGTCTTTTCCACCCCTCTATAGAAGCATAACATATCAAAACCATCCTGCAAGGCAGGTTTTAGTTGCACGAAACAGGTCAGGACGTTTTTTTTTTCGTGTGTTGTTTTATCCATCTCAAAAAGTTGTGCCACTTCAAGTTTACGGCTCCTATTGGAAATATATAAATATATATCTAAAGGATTTACTTTTTTGTAGATAGAGTGAGCACTTTAAAATCCTAGGAGAGGTGTGTAGAAATCGTTCAACTGGACTAGTAGCATTCTTGACATATAATATTTTCTAATAATTATGTTCTTTCCTTATGCTGCTCCCAGGCAATAAGAATACATCGTCAACGCATTGAAAAAGCCAGTTCATGACGAGCGGCTTTGCGTTTTTATGCATGGGGATTGGCAACACAGCGGGGCTTATTTACATTAAATACGCCACAAGGTTACAGTGCAGATAGATGAGCGTCATTTTTATCACTCATTACTTCTCTTAAGCGGTGACTGACGCTCAGGACGCACAAGAGGCAACACTCATTTATCCTGGAGTTTTTTAAGCGAGGAGAAGAGGAATAAGACTCGAAACAGTTGACTTAAAAGGTAAGGAATTCTACTTTTTGGAGTAATTTTGTGACCTGGGTGTCTTTACACGAAGAGGTTGTTATCCCGAATTTTTAACGCACAGTGCCCGAGCTGCGAGGCTGGCTGTGTGTGAATGGTTATGTAGAGGGGGCAGATTTAGAAATTAAACTGTTTGTGGGCAGTTCAAGGTCAGAAACAAACTAAGGTGGTTGGGAATAAGCTTTCTTCTCCTGCCAAGGTACCGGGAGAAATGTAACGTTGAGGGAATTATTTCTTTAAACGAGGTTTTGTTCGCCGCTGGGCTCATCAGCTGCTTTTTATCCCCGTCAACGGCGAGCACCGCAAGACCCGGGCTGTATCAAGCCAGTCGACTCTGCCTTCTACAATGGAGTGCCTTCTTAACGGTACAATGCATTTCACCTACCAGATAGGGGGAGTCCAAGCTGAAAGATGAAGGGAATATACTGATGGCTGACGATCGGCATCAATGCAAACGTTTGCCATTAGCAGACAGCGACCGAGAGGGACAGAAAAGCAAGAAGAGCGACAAGTAATAAAGCAGTATTTTTCATTTCAAACTCGGAATGCGCGGCATGGAGCAGCTGTAGGGACAGGATCAAGGAGTGGACAGTATTTAACAGGTCCGAAACGCACTTTTCAACACCCCCGTCATCTGAAAAGAATATGATCCGGTCAAATCATATGGGCATGCCTCATTATTCAATGAACACTATCTCTCACAACGCCTCGTTTACGCGCAGGAGTTAGCGCTTCGCCAAATTTAAAAGGTAAGAAGTGTGGGGTATATAGTACATGAATGTGTTTTTACTGGGGGCTTGGAGTGTATTACTCGCTGGGAAGTCAGTTTTGGGAAGGACTGGGGTTGTCTGTGCGGGAGTATCGCAGCGGGGGACCCTGATGTCTCCCCAATCATGATTAGAAAATAACAGAGCAATTAACCGTAGCGAGTGGTGATCGTAAAAAAAAGAAAGGAAAAAAGAAAAGGCGACAAAATAGCAGCTGAGACCAAGACACTGGCTGCCACGATATACACCTTGCAACTCAACGCTTAATAAACTATTTTATAGCACCAGAAAATAAATGATCCTATGTTTTGCTTACTGGTGTATGTTTGACGTCGTAACACAGTGTGCGTAAAGGGCGTTCGGGCGCACGGCTTTACAATATTGCGCATACAGATCATCGACACAGTATGGGACTTTTGGAAAAGTCCAACCGTGTCCCCGTTAAGAGCGTGCACGGAAAACTTTCTACAGACAGCTGCACTTGTGCTGAAAGAGTGCGGGATGGCGAATGAAGTTTATCGGTGGGTTTAGCACCATGTGTCAAAACTTGTGAGATGGAAGAAGAGCCGGTGAGACCTGCCATTTTGTGCAGTGATCGACCTCTTATGAATAAGCAGTCCCTGCATTATGCTTTGAGGAGACGTTATGATGGCATTCAGACGAGCAGGGTAAATGTCATAAGTTGACACTAACGCACATATTAGCCGCAGTGAACTTGACATATTTGGGAACCGATGTCACTTTTGATAGGGGTTGGGGGGTGAGGAGCTGTGATGTTTTTTTGTTTTTTTTTTAAGAGACGGTGGAAACTTAAAGCGGGTCGGGATACCGACTACAACAGACTGATAAGCATCCGTCACTGTGGAAATATACACTCCATAAAACTAGATTTTTTTCCAAGGGATCGAATTAATGAAATTGCTCTCGTGATTTCAGGTGAGAGCAATTTCTTTTCTCCATATCTAAATTAAAATTATCATAGGGTGTTTAAGGGTATCCTAAAGATCCATCAGGTTGAACGGGCTTCGTGCGCTTGGAAACCTCGAACCTTTTGCTTCACATGTGCGAATTTATGACGGGACAGCACTGAATTATCACTAATAAATGGCACCAGGGCTGAGACTTGTAATCCCATGTCACCGTGCGTCTTGGATGGGGAGGACCTTTTCTTGGAACTCGAGTTGACCCCTGTGTTATCTGACATGGGTTGGTCAGCCACTTCCAACAGCTTCCAGCGCTGCACAATGGCTATGAAGACACATGACATCCTTCCTAAAATACTTAACAACGTGTAGCACGTTGTTTCTCTAATGTTCCCTGAAGTTTTCTTGAGCCAAAAAGAGTTACCTCTTCCTCATATTCATTGTGGAAGGAAAATGGATAAATAGATGCGCTGTGAGAGTTGAGATGCTGTCATTGTTTAATGGTATGTGCAGGGCGGATATTATGTCTGAAACAGTGTCGGGTGTAAACCCTTTTTGTGAGCTCCCTCACTGGAGATAAAATAGCAAATGGATAACTCTCCCCACTGACAGTTCAGGCTGCCTCACAGACCCATGTACCTTTACTGTACTGCTACCAGGTGAAATGTTGTCACTCTTTTCATTATTGGGGAAGAGACACTATGTTTAAGAAAAGGCCTTGGTTTGCAAACTGGCCTGTAGAGGAATTTATCTAGTGGATTTATTGTCAAGGCCTCAGTAGTTTGTGCTAGTAATTTTTATTTCAAATTCATTCTAACTCCTTCTAATTTTTTTTTTAAATGAATCTTAGTCAGGATGTGTTAAATTACATATTACTCACTAATGAATTATCACTTGTCAGTAATATCCTAAAAATAATTGCTTTTAAAAATATGCAAGCATTTTTTTCATGGCATGTCAAATGGATAAATTCACATTTATGGATGGGATGTTTTATTTTGGAGCCACTGTGACCCCCACAGACATACAACACAAGTATTTTGACATTTCCTTGTACTGCAATTTTCTGACCAACAGAGCTCAAAATCTTTTCCCGGGAGCCAGTTTGTAGCAGTCACTGCTGATCTTGTGTTAGTTACTTTCCCACCTGTGCCTGTGTCAACGTTGCTAAAGGGGCCAGCCGTGACTGACTGCGGCAGTACACATCTCTCAGCTGAAAACGAGGGAGAAGGAAGTGATGAGAGAGACATTAGAGAGAAAGAGAGAGAGAGTGTGAGGGAGCATGGCATGCAAAGGATGGCATCAAATCAGTCCTCTTTTCACCAGGCTGTCAGTCAGTCAGTCAGCCACTCAGTTCACCATGAAGTAGACCCACTCGACTGAAGCCGCCGCGTTGTCAGCCCGACACACAGTGAATTATTTGCACATTGACATGTACACAATCCGATTTTTGAAAAAGAAAGAAATACTGTATCAAAAAAATCACACACTCGTTAAACAAATGCGCATAAAGACAACATCACATGAGAAGTCATCCCAGTGCATTTTGAAAAACCCACCATGTAGTGCTTGTACATTATCCAGCAGTACAGACAATAAGTGTGCGCTCAATTGGACAAAACATAATTCAAGAGATCCTGTATCCTGTAATATATGCATCTGCAACATAGTGCAATCCACAGTCAGACAGGCAGCCTCACTTTGGCTAGTTGATCCCCTTCTCATGTAATTATAGGGGAGAGGGCTCCAGCTGTACAGGCTGCGAGGCCAGGGCTCCCAGTCCACTGGGATCAGGGTGGTGGTGGGCAGGCCAGATCAGGCCAGCTCTGCTCATCAGCCAGCCATTAATTGATATGTGCAGTCATTGTGAAAGTGCACTTCACCTACTGGGTGAAAGCTGGGCATACTGGCTCTGTCATTTCTTCTCTTCCATTCTGGATCCGAGGTGCTCTCTCTTCTTCACTCTCGTGGCAGTGCACATGTATTCCAGTGTGTCTGCTGAAGGGGCTGTAACACAAGGCGTTTAGTCTGGATTGCGGCCTGTAGTTCCATGACCTTGAACTCCAGAGTTCAAGCAGAGAGGGGAAGATGCAGGCAAGCTGGACTTGCAGTTCTTTTGTAGAGCGATGTGACAATCACATGCAAACACGCAAATACACACAGTCAAAAGCATTGAATTGATCTGTCAAGAAGAGATCGTTCTGACCATGAAACATCACATGCCAGATCACACAGTGGACCAAAATCTAAAACAGTGGGGTTATTTTAATTCAGATTTTGTTGAACGTCTGTCATTGAAAATGTTTGTTGATTAGATTTTTTTTCCCCCACTCCCACTGTGTGATGGCAGTGGGGAAGCGTAACTTAAAGAAGATTTTATTTTTTCCCCTGCAGTGATAAATCAAAAGCGGCATGAAAGTTGAATGAAGTTAGTGCATATGACCGTTGCTCACAATTAAGCCTTTTTATCAATTCAGTACAGATGATTTCTTCATCCTTTGCAATAAGTGTTTGTCTAAAAGTCTATCGTGTTCCAGATATTTATCATTCAACACAATGCTTTCAGTAAAAATCAGGACCAAGTGAAAGTGACTGTAAAAGAGTCCAAAGTGCTGTACTGTTGTTCTGTTTTTGAACAATATAAAAAAGCTATGTGAACTATGGAAGATGCCATTAGCTAGAAATGAATATGTCATCAATATAAATGATCAGCTCTGTTGACTCATTGTTTAAATGAGAGTTTATGTACAGTTTTCCCGTTAAAAGCGCAAGCTGTATTGTACTTCGGAGTGCAAGTGTGTATTTTCCTTGATATGTTATTTGCATTGAGAGCTCGATAAAGGGAGTTGGAGGTTTGGAGCAATAGTGGGGTGGATGAGTTGGAGTGGTGGTGGGTGGGGTAATCACGGATGTCAGTTTGATCTAAGAATAAAAAGTGTGGGGCAGATGAGGCGCTGACAGATAGGCTTGACTCAGTCCTCTCATGCCGGGGTGCCATCACAAGAAGCGTCTGCCTGTCTGGAGTCAGACTGGGGGGAGAAGGTGGGATGGTAAGAGAGGAAAAGAAGTGGGCACCCAGGAAGAGGTGGGCACGGAAGTGGGTGCAAGGAGAATCTGTTTTTCCCTCCTATCACAGTTTCCTTGCTGCTTTTTATACCAGATTTTGTTAAATAAACCTGGGAAGTGCATGCATACAGATAAGTGCGTGTGGGAGTTCGTATTTGAAACAGTGTGTATACTGTATGTGCACTTATTGTATGTGTGCAGTTTTCAGGGTTAGTTTAACTGC